TTCCACTGGCGCCTTCGGTGGAGCTCCCTATGGGGCCGCGATCCTTGTGAGGGGTGTGCCGAAATGGCCCGAGGCCGCCACGCGAACCCTGCCACTGGGGGCCTTCGGTGGAGCTCCCTATGGGGCCACGATCCTCGAGAGGGGTGTGCCGAAATGGCCCGAGGCCGCTATGCGAACCCTGCCACTGGGGGCAGTCGGTGGAGCTCCCTATGGGGCCACGATCCTCGTGGGGGGTGTGCGGACATGGCCCGAGGCCGCCATGCGAACCCTGCCACTAGGGCCTTCGGTGGAGCTCCCTATGGGGCCACGATCCTCGCGAAGGGTGTGCCGAAATGGCCCGAGGCCGCCATGCGAACCCTGTCACTGGCGCCTTCGGTGGAGCTCCCTTTATGGGTCCACGATCGTCGTGACGGTGTGCTGAAATGGCCCGAGGCCGCCATGCGAACCCTGCCACTGGGGGCCTTCGGTGGAGCTCCCTATGGGGCCACGATTCTCGTGAGGGGTGTGCCGAAATGGCCCGAGGCCGCCATGCGAACCCTGCCACTGGCGCCTTCGGTGGAGCTCCCTTTATGGGTCCACGATCGTCGTGAGGGGTGTGCCGAAATGGCCCGAGGCCGCCACGCGAACCCTGCCATTGGCGCCTTCGGTGGAGCTCCCTACGGGCCACGATCCTCGTGAGGGGTGTGCCGAAATGGCCCGAGGCCGCCACGCGAACCCTGCCACTGGAGCCTTCGGTGGAGCTCCCTTTATGGGGCCACGATCCTCGTGAGGGGTGTGCCGAAATGGCCCGAGGCCGCCACGCGAACCCTGCCACTGGGGCCTTCGGTGGAGCTCCCTATGGGGCTACGAAGCGCTGTGCTGGGTGGGTGAAACGCAAGGAGGAAGGGGGAGGAGGAAAGGAGGAGAGGAGACGCGGGCCACCGTTTCTTCAAAACGAGGACCCAACACCACAGGATGGTCGGGAAATACATATATATATATATATTATATATATATATATATATATATATATATATATGTATGCCCATCCGCCCGTCTTCATTCCTACGTCCTCCACTGCTGTGATCCACAAGTCCGGCCACCCCAGGTTCTGAGCTCCTGCAGACAACTCGCTCTCACTCCTCTGCTGAACAAGCATTGAGGTCATCTCCTGTGCACGCGGCGGGTTCTCTGTTCGACTCGTAGCAAAGACCTGACCCAGGGGCTTTCGCAAAGGCCACCGCACGAACGACCACCTTTACGGCAACGGCATGCACTATCTGCCGTCATCTCATTCTTGAAGTAGTGATGTCAGCATTTTTTAAGTTAACATCATGCACCATCCGCAACCGTCACTCTCTTGAATCAGTAGTACCATCCACATACAGTGCGTATGCCAACAGCAGCGCCTTCAGTATCGAATGGCCGCCTTCTGCAGCCTTCTTTTTCGACGTCGCCCCCAATCATGGACTCCTGCAGTAAATCTTGTGTAGTTTCGCAAGAATGACACTCTCTTGCGCTTGGCTGGCGATGCGCTTCTCGACGTCCGCCTACCAGTTCGCCCAACTGTACCTGGGACCTTGACACGTGTCAGGTGGAAGGACGGAGTTACAGACACCCATACCGACATCAACGCGGCAGCATTGACACCTTGGATACTGACCGTGATACGAAGTATTGCGGGATGACATTCGCCTTCCACTGCAGTGTGTTCGTTGCATTGCTGCAGGGTGATACGACTTGACAAACGAGCACGTCCCACTTCGCCACAGCAAACTGAGGCCCTCCAGAGGGCATATCACGCCATCCGTGATGTGCTTGTGCTCTTCGTGGGCCTTCGTCAACGACAAGCTCGTCATCCCCAGGCGTGCCCAGCGGTGTATGCTACAGCTTTTCACTGGGGCGTTGCGGCGGCGCAACAATCACCATACCAATTCCCCCATACACTCCGGGCCACAGCGACAGCACGTCCCACGCAGTCAGTGCAAACAGCGCAGGCAACCCAAACCACAGCGGCCACAGTGCATGCTTCGCGGGCTCAAGGGGGGGGGGGGGGCATTCATCACGCTGTATCTGGAACGCGCATGGAGCTGGGCACCCTCTCATACAGCGACCGCCTCGGATACCGTGCCTCCCTTTGCATTGCGATGGGGGCCAGGCGCGCCCAACCCGCGCCCAGCACAGACCTCGGCATGGAGGGCACCGGGAGCGGTGGGCCGACGACGCCGTCATGGAAGACACCCGCGACCGCGAGGGCAGCAGCATGTGGCCATCCGCAGGGACAGATCAATGAGGACAGTGGGTGGGGGGCATGCTCATCCTAAGCAGACGCCGAGGCTCCCTATATGCCCATCGGGTCCGAGCGCTTCCTATGGTTTTGTTCGGGATGTCGTGGGCTTGCTCGCTGAATTCTCTCTGGTGGCCCCTCGAATTGGCGGAGTCCAGAGCGCGCCTCGGTAATGGCGGGTGTGAGCATCGAACTGGCGACCGCGTGCAAGCGCGGTAAGAGTCTGACCGCACGGTCCGGGCGACATTGGAGGCCAAGCGTTTTTGTCCTCCCAGCGTTGTTCCGTAGCTCGGATTCCATATTTACCAGCCTCGGACGTATCCCCATCCCTAAGATTGACACGCCAAAAGGCGATGACAATCTTGGAGATTGACACGCCAAAAGGCGATGACAATCTTAGGGACTCGCCCTCAAAAAACAAGGGAATCCCTAAGGTTGGCATCGTGATGAGGAGGTGCCCAGCATAGGGACAGGGATATGTTCCAGGCTGGTAACATATGCGAATTCAATGTGTTCTGAATGCGTTTGGTTCGAATGCGCGTGGGCGGGCGCATGTGACCCGAGGTCTTCGCCCCAGGAGACTGCCAAGAGGCCTCGAGAGGTTCCCAAAAAGCCCCCAAGAGGCCCAGCAGAGCCCCAAAAGGGGCCCCGAGGGCACTTGGAATAACAAGGGAACTCCAACATTTCCCTTCTATTTCAAGTTCGCCTGGCAGTTTGGCTACGCTTGCAACAAAAAAGACGTATCACATTTCCTCTTCCTCCTCCTCCTCTGGCTCCCCCTCGTCCTACCCTTCCTCCTCCTCCTGCTCCTCCTCTTCCTCGGCCAGGGTGTCAAAACAAGACAAGAGGGCCCCAATCGGCCTCCGAGACGGTCCATCACGCCCAGGACGGCCTCCAGACGGCCAAAGAGGCTCCAAAGATACCCTGGAGCCTCCAAGAGGTCTCCCAAGAGAGCTCGAAGAGGTAAACCAACATTGATTTGACGTAGGTGTTTGAAACATGTTGGCGTGTCCGCCCATTCCGCTTCCCGACGCTGCAGGACGCCGCACGAGGCCCCGAGGATCGCCCAACGACGTCCCAACAGGTTTCAAAAGCGCCTCAAGACGGCCCCAAAGCAGCTACAGAACGGGCGAAGAGACGTCCGAGACGGCCTGATCCTGGGCCCGCCGCGGCCCGGGAACGGGAGCGTGAACCGAGCACCCGAGATCTTCCCCGCAGTAGACCCCCAGGAGGCCTCAAGAGGTCACCAAGAAGCCCCAAAGAGCTCCAGAAGGGGCCCCGAGGTCATTTGAAAAAACAAGGGGCTTCCAACATGTCCGTGTTCTTTTGTAAAGTTCGCTTGGCTGCTTGGCTACGCTTCCAACCGAATCTATAATTTTTCTTCCTCTTTCTCCTGCTCCTCGTCCTCCTCCTTTTCCCCCAGGGAACCCCTTCACCTCCCTTTGTCCTCTCTTTCTCCGGCTGCGTCCAGCCGCGGCGAAGAGAATGTCACCCGCAGTGCCCTTTGGGCCTGTCTTAGGCCGCCTTGGGTGGAACGTCGGAAGTCTTGGAAGCCATTTGGGCCGTCTTCGTGGTTCTTGGAAGCCCCGGAGAAGAAATATCCTCCCACAAGAATTTCCAGCTCGCGCGAGAAGCGCGCGATGGTCCTAGTATAGTTCCAGATGCATGTGTATATATATATATATATATATATATATATATATATATATGCACATCTATCTATGTACATGTCGTGTCCGGGCTTGGATCTGGCTGGTTGGGCCCGTCTGATAGAGTAAATGGAATACAGGTATTGGGGTATAGTATCGCGTAAGATGGCTTGTTGCGGAGCTCGATAATACCCGTCCGCTCGCCTTATCGTAAATAAGGTTCTCGTGGGTCAGTTGGCAGGGGCATGCAGGTTATTACAGGGTCCTTCGTTGGTGCATGTCCAGGGTCTTCTCAGGTTTGTTCCGCAGCCTTTGCTGGAGACTGCAGTTGGTTCAGTGGAGGCTCATGCCAAGAAATACCCAGTCTGCCTCCAGGGTGCCTCCAGGGTGCCCTTGGTTTCTTGGTTTTCGATGGTTTTGCTGTGGAACGCGTGACGTTCCCGTACCAAAAAATCAATGGACGTCTTGGTGTCTCAGCTTTGGGTTTTTTGTGGGAGGTTTCTTGTGGATTGGCCTCCACTGTATGGCGAGTTTCACGGGAGAGGGTAGGGACAGGGGAGCGGGTAGAGAAAGGGGCCAGCGTGATTGGAAGGAGGGCCGCCCAGAGGGCTGGCGGGATGACAAGCTGCAGGGTCCCGGCCCGCTTGCGCTGCCCTCGTAGTAGGGCCGAGTCGTCTGACCGACGCGGCGGTCTGTCTTCCCTCACCGCCCACCAATCCACCCCAACCCAACCCGAAGGCCAGATTTTTCTCCCTATTTCCAGTGGGGGGGGGGGGGCGGGGAATATTGAAACCACACCCATGGAGCCCGCACCCTGCCAACCCGAAACTTTGGGACTTCGGCTTGGGCTGGGGCTGGTCTGATGGGTAGCCATCCCCTGCCTCACCCCGCACCCCCCCCCTCTCGCCGAGAGTCAGGAGGGGAAGAAACACACAGACACATTTAACCGTCGATTCCCCCCCAAATATGGGAACATATGGGAAGTGGAGGGGAAGACCAACACCCAGAAAACATAGGAACATGTGGGGAACTCTTTTTTATATCTGTGCATTTATTTGTGTGTGTCCCAGCGCCCCTTCCGAGAGGTCTTCCTCTCGGGCTACCCGCCCAAGCCCGGCGGCGGCATCGGGAGCCACGGCAACCGCTTCGCGGAGCCCGAGCGGGAGGATGGGCCCGGAAAGGGCACGGACGCCGGCGAGGCCCTCCGGGCCAGAGAGGGCCCCAACCGCCAGGAGCTCCGCGGGCCGGCCCGGCGGCCCTACTCTGCGCCGGCGGGCTCCCGGCTCCCCTTCTCTGCTCTCTGTCGCCCCCTCCTCCTCTCCAGCTCCCTGCTCCTCCCTCTCCTCCTCCTCCTCCCCCTCCTCCTCCTCCTCCTCCTCCTCCTCCTCCTCCCCCTCCTCCCCCTTCGTAGCCATTTTGGCTCAAGCCCGTCGCTCGAGCACGTGCTGGGCACAGGGCCACTGGGGCGCCCGGGCGCCCCCGCTCCCCCCTCCCCCCTCGCCTTCCCGCGGCCCGTTCCCCCCTCAGGCGCTGATGGTGTGCGCTGCTCGGCTGCGATGGCTCTCGGACCAGCTGGCCCTTGGGAGGCAGTGCTGGCTGCGGGTGAACTCACACTGCGACAAGGTGATCGTCAACGTGGTGTTGTTGCCAGTGTTCGACTCGCTCATGCTCAACTCCTTCGCCCTCCAACTGGTGACTTCCCTATTGGATTCTCTTCCGCATGCAGTGGTTGTTGATCATGGCCATTGTACCTCGGCTGGCGAATCGCACATCTCGATATCTTTTCGGCGGGTTCCTCCTGAAGCTGGAGGTAGTCCTCCTGGCCCACCTGCTGGTGGGGGCTCTCCTGGCGGTTGTGATGACGAGGAGGGGGATGACGATGAAGGTCCTGGCGATGTGGATGTCCGAGGTCAAGATCCGTGGTTTGCTGGTGGCGACCCCTGGCTCGGTGGCGGGACGGTGCGCCGCGGTGGCAGCGGAGCCAGTGGCAGGCCCCCGAAGATGCCTCGCAAGCAGCGTGCTGACAGACCTGTGGATGATGTTGACGGTGGCATGGGTGCTCAGGCGGATGCACTTCCACTGGTACCTGCTTTCCCTGCGCTTTCAGTGCCTTGCCAGATGGCCGAGGCCAAGCTCTTCGAGAGCCTTCGGATGATGATGCACATCGTGATCACGGCATGGGCTATTGCATCTCGGACGATGGCGGCGTCGTGTGTGCCTCTTAGTGGCTGTGCTGCTCTTCCTGCCCTTCCTGCTCCATGCGATTGCCAGGCCGACAGCGACATAGTGGACTCCATGATGTACGAGATGGACGTCGACGGGTACCCTGAGGACGACGCCTTGCGCGTTGCCTTCAATATTCCTCATCGTGGGGCTCCTGTGGTTGCTGCTAATGAGGGTACTGGCAGTCATGGCTGGGATGGTCGTGCTCTCCTTCGTGGTGGAGCTGGCGGTGGAGACGTTGAGGCTTTACTTGCGGAGCTTCTCAAGCCCTTGGCGGACGCGCAAAAGAACTTCCAGAATACGCTCGAGCGGAGTTTCGGTTCGCAGGTGCTGTCGTCTGGTGCTGGCGCAGCCCCCGCGCGGATTATACGTGAGATTGTATGGCATGAGGAGGAGTTCGTGAGCTGGCGCCGGCGGTTGCCGCTCGCGGAGCTCTGCCAGCACCACGCTTGGCCCTTGGAGTTGTTCGTGGGTCGGTTCGTCACGTTTCTTGGCGGCCCCTGGATTGGGCGTGTCGCGAAGATATCTGGCATTCGCGAGGGAGCTGTCTGCTTGGAGGTGTACCCCGACGATGAGCGTACAGAGGCGGGCCCGATGATCGTCTACGAGTGTGGCAACCCCGCTAGTACTCCGCAGTGGGACGGCATGATGGTGGAGAAGATGATTCTGGACGCGGAACTGGCTGCTCATCTCTGAGGTTGAGTGTGCGCTAGGGAGGGAGTGGCTTCGGTGGCCTGGCCCTTTTACGGGTCGGCACGGCCAGGTGGGTGCCTCGTGGGGGCGCCCCTGGCGATGCTGCACACCTCCGCAACGGGGCTCAGGGGAGGGCGCTTCGGTGGTCTGGCCCTTTTGGGGGTCGACACGGCCAGGTGGGTGCCCCGTGCGGGTGCCCCTGGTGACGCCCCAAACCCTGCACGCGGACGGACGGGGCTCGCTACGGGCCCTGCGGGGGGGAGAAAAAAACAACTCCTCCCCCTCCTCCCCCTCCTCCCCTCCTCCTCCTCCTCCTCCTCCTCCTCCTCCTCCTCCTGCTCCTCCTCCTCCTTCTCTTCCCCCTCCGCGGGACGGCGACGGGGCGCTGGCGCGAACGGTCGACGCGGGTGGCGGCGGCTTCGGATGCCCCGTCCTGTTTCCCCCCCTTCTCCTCTCCAACTCCCTGCTCCTCCCTCCACCTCCCTTCGGGCCGGAACAAAGGGGGGGATTGGGAAAGGGGGGGTTACGGAATTTGCTGCATGCAGCTGGTGTCGGCCTCACCAGGGGGCCCACTCCTCCATCCGTATAGCCGCCTCCGGCGCCGGGAGGCGCCGGGAGAATCAGCCACGTGAGCTGATTCTCAAACCCCCTTTTGCTATCCCCCCCTTTCGCCCGGCCCGATCCCTCCACCTGGTCTTCCCGTCCCCTCCCTCCCTCCCTCCCTCGAGGAACAACAAATGCCATAAGCATAAAATTGTTGGCGGTCCGCGCGGAGTTCGTGGGTCCGCGCTGGGCCATCCGTGGTGGCGCCTCTGGCGCCGCCCCTGGCGCGCCCCGCGCGCCAGAGGAGGGGGTCCAGCGCATATCCAAGAAATCCGCGCGGACCTCCAGAAGTTTATGCTTATTCTTCTCCTTCTACATATGCGCATTGCGGGTCGCGCACGCGCGTGCCTCTCTCATACCCACAGGCCCTCTTGCTCACACATGTTCGCAAATGTCTCCAACCCACTCGAGCGCAAGTGCCTCAGCCATAAATGATGATGACAGGTTGCCAAGCAATTGCCCTGCTCTGAGGACCAGCGCGGTCGCGCCGTCGGCGTAGTAGGCGAGACTCCAACTCCTTGGTCCTCTACTCCAACTCCTGGGTCCTCCATCCCCCCCCCCACCTGCTCCCCCCCCTCCCTCCTTGCCTCCGTGCCTGCTTCCCCGCCCCATGACCCCTCTCCCCCGCCCTGTTCCCCATCATCCTACTCTCTCCACACCAGCCTGTCCTCCCCTCTCGCCCTCTGAACCGCGCCCCCGGAGGGAGGGAGGGAAGGGGCGGAGGCAGTATATCCCGCGCAAGTGCCAATTTGCATGCAGCAGCCGATCCCATCAAGGAAGTCTCGCACAGAAAGGTCGGTGGAGGGCCAGCCATACATCATCCCGAACAAAAGTTGTTCTCTAAAGTGTCTGTGTGTGTGACTGCCATCTTCTTCCAGAGGTGTCGTGGAGCGGTTGGGATTGGTACTGCGGTGGGCAAGCGTGACGAGCTCAGTGAAACCCGCACCGGTGAGCAGTGCAAATTCCTGTGCGAGGAGTCGCGTGATCAGTTGCAACGATAGGAGGATAGGCATAGGGGGATTCATCGACCCCCAAACGCCCATTGATCGCCGATAGGGTCCCGATAGCCCCAACCTGCCCAGGAACGTTTGGATTCACTATCGGGGGCCTATCGCCGATCTATCGGCGATGTATCGCCGATTCCATTTTGATGTGTCCCCCCATATGCCACTCCGCACTATCGTTGCACCTCATGTGAAGAGGAGGCCTCATACTCGACATGATTTTCCAGATTGGCGATCGTTTTTGAATGGTACGCGTGCTATTCCTTGGCAGCCTTGTGGGGTCGAGCACTTTCCGCCACGACTTGGGTTTGCGAAGGCTTCCAACCAAGGACAGGCCCTGCTGGCCACATGTCACGATATTTCTTGCGGCACGGGGGCCTTGCTGGCAAGGTTGGCTCCCACTCCTCGTGCCGCTGCTGCTTGGAGAGCCGAGGAGGCTCCCGACAGACGGTTCTGGAGTGGGCGCCGCATCCGTACTCCGCGGTACGGAGCTAAGCCTTCCGAGGTGTTGCCTGGCACCCGCGTGGCCGATCGTGTGACCCACTGGAGCCATGCCAGCCAGAGCACCTTGTGGTGTGTCCAACTTCAGGGGAACAGCAAGTGGCATGAACATAAAAACTCGGAGGTCCGCGCGGATTTCTCGGATCGCCGCTGGACCCCCCTCCCTGGCGCGCGGAGCGCGCCAGGGGCGGCGCCGGAGGCGCCGCCGGGGGGCCCGGCGCGGATCCCAGAAATCCGCGCGGACCTCCGAATTTTTATGTTTATGTCATTTGTTGTTCCCCTAACTTGCGGAATCTGCTCGGCACGCGATGGTGCCGTGTGTTGTGCGGGCTGGCGCATCCTGGCCGTCCCGCGTCCAGGGCGGGCTCGATCAGCCATCATTTCCTGGAGCGCAGAGTCTGGCCAGGGCAATCGCAGGTGGCCATACGGTTTATTAAGCAGGGCCCAGAGCTGCCTCGGACCAGCCACCGGAAGGTGGGCCAGACAGATTTTTACCGCACCGTCCAACCACTCGGGAAGGACACCTGCCCGTCCTCCCATGTCCTGGCCAATGCGTGGCGCGCCCTGCTCACGCCTCGCGTTGTCGCCCCTGCGTCTTCGAGGTCGGAGTCGGGCTCCTCCGCTACGTCATCCACTTGTTCCCGTCGATCCAACTCCTCCCATGTCTGGTTTTCCTCCCTCCACTCGCCTTTATCAGCACGCCTGTTTCATGCCCACGAGTGCCACCCCTGGGCTCTGCCTCAGGGCTGCCTCCCCCCTTCCTGCCTGCTTCCTCCCTCCTTCCCCGCACATCAGACACCGAGGTCTTCAGCGTCTCCCAGAGCAGTCTTCAGCCTGCGTGTCACCCAGCCTGCCACATGCCCCCTTCGTAGACCTTCAGCGTCCAACGATGCGCTCGCGCGGCCTCCTTCGTCGCCTTGCCGAGTTTGTTTGGTTCTGGGGACGCTACGGGATGGTCCGAACCTCCCAGAGATAGACTTATGTTCCCGAGTCGACCTCCACCTGCAGCTGTCGCCGCTAATCTCTAGCATGTGATGTGAGCATTCCGTGCAGCGTGCCCAACTTTTGTAGCTGCGTTTCGATTGAGGGTTCTAATCGCTTGGCATCGCTCGGACATCTGCATTTTTCCTTCGGCGAGGGCCATCGAGTAGCATCCTCGATCATTTGGCGAAAAAACCATGCACGAAACCTAACAAAAAGCACAGGGAATGGACGTCCGAGCGATGGCCAGATCGTGGGGGGGCTTGGGGAGCTCGAGACCGCCGGGTCCGGCAGCCGTCTCGCCCGCCCCTGAGAATGCCCACAGTGCATGCAGGAAGCTTGTTCTTGCCCCATCGCCAGCGACGTGTTTGCTCGGGACGGCCATGGCCCCGTCGAAGGAATACTTTTATAGGGGAAGAAAAAGTGGCATAAACATAAAAACTCGTGTGGCACCCGCGTGGCCGATCGTGTGACCCACTGGAGCCATGCAGCCAGAGCACCTTGTGGTGTGTCCAACTTCAGGGGAACAGCAAGTGACATGAACATAAAAACTCGGAGGTCCGCGCGGTTTTCTCGGATCGCCGCTGGACCCCCCTCCCTGGCGCGCGGAGCGCGCCAGGGGCGGCGCCGGAGGCGCCGCCGGGGTGCCCCGGCGCGGATCCGAGAAATCCGCGCGGACCTCCGAGTTTCTATGTTTATGTAATTTTTTGTTCCACTATTTAAGTTAAGGGGCATACGGGATCCGCCGCTTGACCTTCGCTGCGCTGTTCTTTGCTGTGGCCATGTTGTTTCCCACGCATGTCGTGGGGGTACTGTGAGAGTGTGTGCTCATGCTGGTGCCCATACCTGCGCACCGCTATGTTCGACCAAGACCAGCGAGCTTGCCCAGACGTATTGCACTCCCCGGTCGCCCGCCAGGTAAGGAAGACCAAGTGGCAGCTGGAGGCAGAAGCAAGGAAGAAAGCTGAGCAGGAGAACTGGGACCCGGACATGCCGCTCGTCGACGCGTTTCTCGAGGAGAGGGTCGGCAGCAAAGGAAGAGGGCTGGCCATGGCGTCTCGTTTTCACGGGCGACGCGATGGAATTGGAGTAGGTGCAGCCATCGCACAGGCGGAGAGAGGATGACGGGATGGGATTGCGTCGAGCAGGAGGGATCGGATAAGGAGGGGCGAACGAGACGGCTGGTATAGAGGTAGGGGTGTATGCGTTGGGTGTTGGGAAAGAGGATCAGGAGAAGGATGATTACTTCGGTTGTAAAACGAGGGCGGGGGACTGAGGAAGAGAAGGTGGAGGAGGAGTACACGCAGCATATGTCACGACGCAACTTTCTCTCCGTCACCATCCCCCTCTTGAATGGAAGAGCAGTTCAAATCAAAACAATGCACGGCACATCAAGTCAACTGGAAAGCAATGCAGAGCACGCCATAGCAAGACAAGCAATGCAAAGCAATGCAAAGACAGTCACAGCAATGCAACGCAATGCAAAGCAATGCAATGCCAAGCAATACGCAGTAGTGCAAACCAGCGACACACACAATGAAACGCAATGCGAAACAATCCACTGCAGTGCAAGGCATTTCAGAGCACAGCCATGTACATCAATGGAACACAGTGCAAAGTCATGCAACTCATTGCAATGAAACGTGATGCACAGCTATGCAAAGCGACGCCAAGCAATGCAAAGCAATGCAGTGCGAGTCAATACGGAGCAGGCAAGCAGTACAAAGCTAGTTACGCAAAGCAAGCACAATGTAAAGCAATGTATCGCCATGCGACGAGGCGGCGACGGGGCGGCGACGGCGGCCACGAGGTGGCGGACCCGACAACGGAGTCCAGACGACGGGCGGCGACGGGGCGGCAACGGGGCGGCGATGGCGACCACAAGGCGGCGGACCCGACAACGGAGCCCGGTTTCATGGAACAGAAGTCAGATACCCTGCGTGCAAACACAGCTTGGGGTTGTACTGTTTACGAACAGCGCCTGGCTGGATCGGGGGTTGGACACCTCGCAGCCGTCTGCTATGATTTGTTGATCTCCCCTCCCCGGGGCCTCCAGGAGGCCCCGAAACGGCCCGCGTGGCTTCCCAGACAGCCCAGGATACAAAAGCGCGCCACTCGATCACCCTGTAATTGAAAAGGGCGGGGGGTGCTCGCAGAACATCCCCCCCTCCCTCCCTTGGCGCTGGGAAGGGGGGAGGGTTCGACCCCCCCCCTCTCCCCGTGCTTGCGCCGAACAAGGGGCCCGGGAGGGGGCCTCTCCCGCAAAGGGGGGGTCTTGCCTCGGGATAGTGAGTAGTGAGTAGGGAGTAGTGAGTAGATCGTAGCGGGTAGTGAGGAGTGAAGAGTGTGGGCAGCGAGTAGAAAATAGTGAGTCTTGAGGAGTGCGCAGTGAGTAGTGAGTCGTGGGTAGTGAGTAGTGAGTAGTGGGTAGTGGGGAGTGGGTAGCGGGTAGTGGGTAGCGACTAGGCAGTAGCGAGTAGTGAATCGCGCGTAGCGAGTAGGGCATTGTGAGTGGTGAGTAGTGAGGAGGGGGTAGTCAGTAGTGAGTAGTGAGTAGTGAGTAGTGAGTACCGAGTAGGGAGTGAGAGTAGTGAGAAGTGAGTAGTGCGTGGTGAGTAGGAAGTAGTGAGTAGTGAGAAGTGAGAAGTAGGTAGTGGGTAGTGCGGTAACGAGTAAAGAGGAGTGAGTAGTGCGTAGTGAGTCGTGAGTAGTGAGGAGTGAGTACTGGGTAGTGAGTAGTGAGTCGTGCTTGGAATTCGTGAGTAGGGAGTAGTCAGTAGTGCGTAGTGGGGACTGAATATTGCGTATCGGGTAGCGAGTAGCGAGTAAGGAATCGCGAGTAGTGAGTAGTGAGTAGTCAGCAGTGAGTACTGTGTAGGGAGTAGGGAGTAGGGAGCAGCGGATAGTGAGTAGTGGGACGTGGGCAGTTAGTAATGAGTAGTGACTTGTGAGTACTCAGTGGTGAGTCGTGGATAGTGGTTAGTGGGTGGTGGGTAGTGATTAATGAGTAGTGAGTAGTGGGTAGTGAGTGTGGAAATTGGGTCATGGGAAGTAAGAAGTGGGTAGTGACTTGGGAGGTAAGAAAGGGGGGGAGGAGTTTCCCCCCCCCCTTGGGGAGACCCAGCGGCGCGCCCTCCAAGATACCCCCGAGACGGCCCAACAGAAACCCAAGAGAGGATCCGAAGACAATCCAAGAACTGTCCAAGAGCGCCTGAGATGGGCCCAGCACGGCCAAAGATGATCCGAATACGCTTAAGTAGAAAAACTGTCTCAAACCTTTTTTGGCCCACGCCTCTTTTGGCTGAGACCACCCACTCGCGGCCGTCGGCTCTGAGGCGATCGAAAGCGCGCGGGCATGGTTGCGGGACTGAGCGAGCCGCCGCAGATGATGTGCCGCATGCGCCCCTCGTTCAGCGACAGCATCGAGCTCATCCACTTCGATCCCGAGTGCAGGACGTCTGGCCAGACAAGCATCGCGGCCGTGGTGATCGCGGGCCCGCGGGCCGCGACGCAAAAGAAGTCGTCCCCGGCTCCCGTGAAGGTTGCGGGCGGAGGACTGGCTTGTCGCACTGCAGCCTCTTTACCGAGCTGGTCGACAGCGACGCGGGGGAAGTCGCCGAAGAGAGCGTGTTCGCAAAAGCGGCCCAGAGGCGTCGCATCCGCCGCAGCGTCACTGCCAATGTCGGACAGGGCCTTCCCCCGCACATTATGCCGGCTGTGATGACGTCGAAGATCCTTTCCAGGCGTCGAGGGACAGACTTGACAGGGATTCGCCTCGGTGCAGATGTCAACGAGTTTTCCTCTGCCGCGGAAGGCGCCCCGCGAGGCAGTTCGGGCTCGCCACCGTCGTCGGACTGAGGACACTCGCGAGGTGGTGGACTGAGGATGGAGCGTGCCGCGTAGGCCTGGGATTGCCGCGCAGTCCGTTCAGTTTCAACTTCGTACACGTGCCTCTCTACAGGAAGGCGACGCGATGCGACGATCCCTTGACTCACATAGGGGAGCCAGCGGAATATTGTTGATTCTCCGAACGTGCCTCAGTATCTAGAGTAGCAGTTGAAGCATGCCAGCGCAGTCGATCAGTCTGTTGGCTGCTGCACCGCTGCACCCTTGCCTCCCAGGCAGCTTTGTACAGAGTGTCATTTCGCTTTGGCATCTTGGCATCTCTGTATATCCGCCTTGCTATGTCCGCGGTGTGGTGACCGCCACGCTCCGCTCGCAGTCGCGAACGCACGCAGACTGTGCGCAGCTGGTGCCGTTTTGAGGTCGACCATGGCCGATGGCCACGTCGGCGTTACTTTTCTAACATCCCGCCAAATGCCGGAGGCTTCAGGGAATGTTTTGAGCTCTCATGCTCAACCTGTACAGACCGCCACAATTTGTAACATACAATTTCAGAGGAAGGCCTTAATCAGGGATGGCTGAATGATTCCTCTCGCTTCGCGGGGTGCACGTCCGGAACACGTACAGTCCAGTCGTTGTCGGGGCTTTGGGAATTTCTTGGGGGCCCCTTGGAGGCCTCTTTGGGGCCTCTTGGGTCCTCGCGGGGGCGTCTCGGAGGCCTCTTGGGGACCTCTGGGAGGCCTCTTGGGGACCTCCTGGGGCCCCGTGTAGGCGTCTTGGAGGCGCTCTTGCGCTGTCTGGTCCCTTCGGAGACTGTCTTGGGGTACTCTTGGGCCGTCTTGGGGGTCTCTTGGGGCTGCCTGGGGGCCCTGTTGGGCCGTTTTGGGGCCCTCTTGAGGGCTTCTTGGGCCGTCTGGGGGCCACTTCGGAGGCTGTTTCAGCTGTCCTGGACCTCTGAGAGTCGAAATAGGCGGGAACGCTGAAATCTTCAACAACCATTGGGAAATCAATGGTTTTTGGCTTCTGGAGGTGCTCTTGGGGGTCCTCTGGGGGCCGTCTTGGGGCGTCTTGGGATCTTTGTAGGGCCTTTTGGGGCCATCTTGGGCCGTCTTGGGGCCATCTCGAGCCGTCTTGAGGCCTTGTTGGGCCCCAAGAAGACCAACAGGCCAACTCATTGATTTTCTGTAGGTTTTGGTCGGTTTTTGAGGCGCAGGAGGGAGGGGCCACCCTGGGTCGGCGGAAGTGGTGTGGCCACTGGGGGGGGTCACGGGGAGTACATAACAATGTAACACAATCAAATATGTAGCAATTGTGCAATCATTGGATACATTGGATACGTTGCATTATAGCCTCCGCGAACCTGCCTCCGGCAACACGTCACTTCCGGACGTGGATTATAGGCTTATGCCACATCCGCCGACCCCTCTATATACCACTGCGCCTCCAGGACTGCATTCCACGAGGCTTGTCCGAATCATGGCACGGCGCTCCACATCATTGCAGTCGCGGCGCTAGACGCTCTGGGATGTCCGTTGGGATCTCGTGGCGAGGATTCTCGCGGGCCTCTTCGAGGCAGTTTCGAAGGGTCTTGGGGGCCGTTTTGGGGTTTCTTTTGGGGCTTTTGGGGGCTCCTTGGGGCCTCTTGGGGCCGCTTGGGCGCCTCTTGGGTCTTTCTGAGAGCTTCGCTGGGCGGAGCGCTGGAATTCGCGGTTCGTGGTCCCTCTTTGGGGCCCTTCTTGGGGCCGTTTTGGAGCTGTCTTTGGCCGTCTAGGGCGCCCTTTGGGCCACGCTGGAGTTTTTTTGAGTTGTCATTGGGGCCTCCTGGGAGCCTCGCGGGCCGTCTTGATTTGGATTTCTTGGAGGCTTCTTGGGACGCCTCTTGACTCTTAAGTCGAGCTGGGGACGTAAGGGGTGGAAGCGAACGTGCGCCCGCGGCCGCCTTGGCTCAAGCGGCCGGCCGCCCAGGTTTGACTGTGCCTCCCCGCGAGGCACACAATCGCTATCGAGGCCAACATGTATCCCCTCTTGCTTGAGATGGCATCTCCTTTTGTACTGGGACTATCGTGACTACGATACAACAGAGCGGGAGCTTGGCTTCGCCTGAGGCGAAGCTGTTGGCTGGGCCTTCCAGCCCCCTTTCAAACTTGGTATTGGAGCTGGCCTATGTTGTTCAG